TTTTTTCATTTGCTATTATTTTCTCCCATTCTGAAGGCTGTCTTTTCACCTTGTTTATAGTATCCTTTGTTGTGCAAAAGCTTTTAAGTTTAATTAGGTCCCATTTGTTTATTTTTGCTTTTATTTCCAAGATTCTGGGAGGTGGGTCATGCAGTGGTTTATGTCAGAGAATGTTTTGCCTATGTTCTCCTCTGGGAGTTTTATAGTTTCTGGTCTTACATTTAGATCTTTAATCCATTTTGAGTTTATTTTTGTGTATGGTGTTAGGAAGTGTTCTAGTTTCATTCATTTACAAGTGGTTGACCAGTTTTCCCAGCACCACTTGTTAAAGAGGTCATCTTTTTCCCATTGCATATTCTTGCCTCCTTTGTCAAAGATAAGGTGTCCATATGTACATGGATTAATCTCTGGGCTTTCTGTTTTGTTCCATTGATCTATATTTCTGTCTTTGTGCCAGTACCATACTGTCTTGATGACTGTGGCTTTGTAGTAGAGCCTGAAGTCAGGCAGGTTGATCCTCCAGTTCCATTCTTCTTTCTCAAGATTTCTTTGGCTATTCGAGGTTTTTTGTATTTCCATACAAATTGTGAAATTATTTATTCTAGTTCCGTGAAGAATACCGTTGGTAGCTTGATAGGGATTATCTTGAAGCTATAGAATGCTTTCGGTTCAGTTCAGTTCAGTTCAGTTGTGTCTGACTCTTTGTGACCCCATGAATCACAGCACACCAGGCCTCTCTGTCCATCACCAACTCCTAGAGTCTATTCAGACTCATGTCCATCGAGTCAGTGATGCCATCCAGCCATCTCATCCTCTGTTGTCCCCTTCTCCTCCTGCCCCCAATCCCTCCCAGCGTCAGGGTCTTTTCCTATGAGGCAACTCTTCGCATGAGGTGGCCAAAGAATTGGAGTTTCAGCTTCATCATCAGTCCATCCAATGAACACCCAGGACTGATCTCCTTTAAGATGGACTGGTTGGATCTCCTTGCAGTCCAAGGGACTCTCAAGATTCTTCTCCAACACCACAGTTCAAAAGCATCAATTTTTCGGTGCTCAGCTTAACAAAAGGAGCGCATAACAAAAGGACCAACAGGGAGGTGCCAACAGTAAATATTTTAGAACTACCCTAAATCTGGTGGCTCAGATGGTAAAGAATGTGCCTGCAATGCAGGAGACCTGGGTTCAGTCTCTGGGTTGGGCACAACCCCTGGTGGAGGGCATGTAACACACTTCAGTATTCTTGCCTGGAGAATCTGCATGGACAGAGGAGCCTGGCAGGCTACAGTCCATGGGGTCACAAAGGGTGGGACATGACTGAGTGATTAAGCACATACCATAAATCTGGCTGAAGAGCAGGAATATATCACCTATATCTCTCTGACATCATAACATCTGTCCTGAGTTCCTTCATTTCTGCTGCATTTTCCTAATCTTATATCACTTTTTGGACTGAGACCCGTTTTCTCCAAGATTTGCTAGAGGGTAACTGCTCACTGTTTATAGGAATATGCATTTCCCAGGAAGCCTTAATCAAGGGACAGAGGCTGATATGGGAACCTCCATGAAGGAGGGCTGAGGAGACAATCATCCCTGAATATAGGGGTCACCCAAAGACTAAGAAGAGGAATCTTAGATCAGTAGAAGTAGCAGTCCCTGACTGTGGTAGATATAGTGAGGATGCTGAGCAGGAGGAATCCAGAAGGACTCAAGTTGCATCCCCACTGTCTATTCTCAGAGGCCGTGATGGACTAGGGTCACACAAGGATCACCCTGACTTCCCACTTGGAATTCTTAGGAGACTAGGACCTTGATGTAAGACAAGAAGCTTCATAAAACAGAGAGTGGAGTTACAGGATTCGTCACGTGTCAATGTGAGGACCAGAAAGTGGACTCATGGTAGCACACACTATAAAAGGAGGCCCTGGAAAATCACTGATGCTGTGCTCCCCAGGAAGCTCTGGGCACAGATGTCAGGTTGATTTCAGTCTAGAAGGTCTTAGTTGGGTGAGACCTCGGTCTAATACAGTCAGCCACATTTTTGCAGAGGGACGGACCTGAGCCCAACGTGGATCTCACATGCGATGCTGAGTGTTAGAGGGGACCCCTGCAGAGGGAGCCAAACAATTCTATAAATTCTTAGCCCTGAGAGACCCAGAAGAGCTACTTCTGAATTGTTCCCTCATTCAACCTGTGTGATCTTAGTGAGGGCTGAGTCTCCTCTAGCCAGATCAGAACCCAGATCTGCAGGTGGTGGTATCTTGATCATAACCGGACTTAAGGAGAGAACCATCAGTGCTAGTGAGAGGATCTCTGCCAACGAGGGAGGCTCACAGAATGGCAATGCACCTGACAAGCAGAGATGCTCAGAGCAGAGCTGGACTCCTGCTACTAGGGACTTGGGAAGGCGAGGGCTTTGTTTGGGAGCTGGAAGACTCGGGTTCATAGAAGGAGGCGTCCTGGGCTCTGATACACTGCACAAGGAGGACCCAAGGACAGATGAATATTGAACTAGTGGGTTCCCGTAGCATGTCGCCCCTGACGTCATCCCTGGGAGACCCCACGTAGGGCCTTACGCAGCTCCCCTCCACTTCCGCTTTGGAAGCGAGCGGATCGACCGGTAGCCGTGGCGTCTGTTCGGCGTCTGTTCAGTGTCAGGACTCATCGGGAGCCAAGGTGAGGACCTGAATGTAGTTTAAAGGACTTTCCCAACTCTCCCAGTAATAAAAGTGACCCATCCACATCCCACCCCTCTAATATGGCTCTTATGAGTCCCTCAGAGCTATCGGCTGAATGCGGTCTAGCGTGTCTCAGGCGAAGGCCTTGGTCTGTGGGGGTAGGCCTGGATTCTACCCACGCAGGAGCTCTAGGTCCTAGATAACGGCCCTGAGGGCCGATGAGCAGACTTCGACACCACAAGTGCGCCACACTGAGCGGCTCCTCTATACTGGGTTTTGGGAGGCTCCGGGTAGAGCTGGCCAACTGTGGTGCCCCCTGGTGTCCTCTGGAGGTGATATCGGGGAGGTGAGAGCCTTGCTCTAATGGAATAACAGTTCAACAAAGGGACCTAGTCCCCAACAATATTAATGGCTGTGACGCCATTAATGGCCGTGAGGATGGGGGCTCCTCCCGTTAAAATGGAGTCACATAAAGCGCCAGTCTTATTTTCAGGACTAGGAGAATTGGAAGTTTTGACATGACAGTTCCCAGGACATCTCAGGGAAGTGAGAGACCAGATCAATGGGGGCAGCCTCAGGTTGGCAAGGGAGGGTTTCAGGTTTCCTGGTGGATGGTGAGAACCTTGAGGGCTGTGGATGTTCCACACCACGTCATTCAGACCACATCTCTCTGTCGTCATCCCTGGGAGACTTCAAGGATACATGTCAGTTCCCACTGTGGGCTAATGGGGAAGGGGAAGTAAGGATCTTGGTCTGAATGGAGTGGTCAGCAGAGGGAGAAATCTTAGACCCTGTCATGAGTTAAATGTAGACCTTGATTACTTTTATGTCCTGGCTATTGTAAATAGTGCTGCAATGAACATGAGTATTAAGTGTCTTTTTCCCTTACTGTTTCCTCAGGGTATATGTCCAGTAGTGGGATTGTTGGCTCATGTGGTAGTTTTATTCCTAGTTTTTTTTTATGCAGAATGAATTAAGTTATAAAGAGGAAAGCCAATATCATATATTAATGCATATATATGAAATCTAGAAAGATGGTACTGATGAACCTATTTGCAGGGCAGCAGTGGAGATGCAGACAGAGAACACTCGTGGACACAGTGGGGGAAGGGCAGAGGGAGGGGCAGACTGAAAGAGTAATATTGAAAACATACATATTGTAAAATAGAGGAAATTAGTCATATGACACAGAGAGCACAAACCCAGTGCTCTGTGATAACTTAAGAGGGGTGTGACGTGAGAGGGAGTTTCAAGATGGAAGAGACATAAGATATACCTATGGCTGATTCATATTGATGTGTGGCAGAAACTGGTAGAATATTATAAATTAATTTTGTAGTATTGTAAAAAATAAATTTATTTTCTAAAAGACATATAGAAAAAAACAGAAGCAAAAAAATACTTTAGACCTTGAATTGAGATCTTGTGAGAGTCCACAGGGACATCAACCTGCCTGCAACAGATTTTGTTCTCAGGAGACCGTGTTTGGTAAGATAAGGTCATCTTCACTTCCTACTTTTGGGACATAGGGTGGTTGGCTCTTACTGTCAAGCGGTCATCACTTCAGGAGAAAGTTGAGCTTCTCTACCAGGAGCTCAATTGAGGAATGTGAGTGAGGACTCAGTGCATCCATTCCGACCCTCAGATTTCAGCTCAGGAAATGTCAGGGATGGGCTGTGAGGTTGAACATCTGCTTTACTGTCTTATACGAAGTCTAGGGGAGGGGAAATGTCAGTCTGAAAGTGCAGCCACCAGTCAGCAAATGGAGAATGGTGCCAAACATTTTAAGGAGCCAAGGTAAGGACCATGGATGATGATCCCAGTGAACTCAGGATAGAAAAGACCCTACTGAGCTCTCAGCACTGGGTATCTATCTCCTGACAGGGAGGTGGACTGAGGCATCCCTTCACTTGCTTCTGGATGATGTGGAGGTCTAAAGTGTCTACCTCAGAGTAGCAGAGGGAAGGGTGCCCAGGCTCCGCCAGGACTTGACGTGATAATACTGAAGTAAAACATAGAAAACCCCACTGCTAGCACCTGCTGTCACCTGAGTAAATCCAAAGCAGGGCTGAGCGGATGCAGAGGAAAACTAAGGCCTCTGTTCTTCCTCTGTGGGATTCTGTGGGGACAGGCTAAGCAGGAAAACAGGAGCCTTGTGGGTTCCTTGGGCAGTGTCCTCAAGGACACATGCAGAGGCGGCCTTTGATTAAGCCAAGGTAGAATCTCCCTGTTTTAAGGTGCTCATGTCACCTCATTTTTCATCCTCCAGGTGCCCCAATCCCCTATTGGCCCAGACTCCTGCCTGCAGTTTCTGTCCACGGCCGTCATGCCCCGTGGGCAGAAGAGTAAGAACCGAGCTCGTAAGAAACGTCACCAGGCCCGGACTGAGACCCAGGGTCTTCATGATCAGGCCACCACATCTGGGGGAGAGGAGACCGCCTCCCCCTCCCCTCCTGATGCAGAGAGTGCTCCCTCAAGTTCGTCTGCCGCTGGCTCCCCCAAGGGGCCTCAGGGAGCCCAAGGCACCACCAGTGCTGCTACAGGTGCTATACGCAAAAGATCTGGTGTCGGTGGCAAAGCACGCTCAAGAGCTGGTGCACGTGGCAAAGCACACTCAAAATCTGGTGTAGATGCCGAGGGCCAAGTTCAGGAAGGTGAAAATTCCTCCCAGGCCTCAGCTGCTGCTGGGAGTGCTCGCACAGATCTTCTGGCCAGAAAGGCAGAGATGTTACTGCAGTACATGCTCTATAAGTATAAAGTGAGGGAGCTCATTAAGAGGTCTGAAATGCTGAAGACAGTCAATAAAAGGTACAGGGAGCAATTCCCTGAGATCCTCAGCAGGGCCTCTGAGCGCATGGAGCTGGTGTTTGGCCTGGTGCTGAAGGAAGTCAGGCCCAACAGTCACTCCTATACTCTGGTGAGCAACCTAGATCTTGGCGACAGTGAGTCTATGAGAGGTGATTGGGGGCTGCCGAGGAATGGTCTTCTGATGCCTCTGCTAGGTGTCATCTACCTGAATGGCAACCATGCCCCTGAAGAGAAGATCTGGAAGTTCCTGAATATGCTGGGCATCTATGATGGAAGAAATCACTTCATCTTTGGAGAGCCCAGGAAGCTCATCACAGAAGATATGGTGCGGGAAGAGTTCCTGGAGTACCGCCAGGTGCCCGGCAGCGATCCCCCTCGCTATGAGTTCCTGTGGGGTCCTAAAGCGCTCGCAGAATCTGGCAAGACGAAAGTCCTGGAGTTTTTGGCCAAGGTCAACAGGTCCGCCCATACTGCCCTCCTGCTGAATTATGAGGAGGCTTGGAGAGAGGAAGTACAGAGCACCAGAGCCAGAGCTGCAGCCAGTGCTGGCCCTTCTACCTCAGCCAGTGCTGGCCCTTCTGCCTCAACTGGGCCTGGCACTACTGCCTCAGCCACTGCTGGCCCTTCTTCCTCGGCTACTGTGCACCCCAGGGCCGCATGCAGCCGCTCATCTCGCCCCTAGTGTGGTCTGAAGCCCGTTGTTCACTCTGTGGCTGGAGAAGCCTGTCAACCTGTGTTCCTGATATGCATCAATAATTTGTTGACTTTATGTCCCCCAATTTCCAGTTCTTAAAATTTTTCAACAGAAAGTTTAGATTCATGACATAAGTATATGAATAACATGTGTCACCACAGTTTGCTGTTTGTCTAATTTAGGAGTAAGAATTTTGTTTTCTAAAATAAATATTGGAAATCCTCACATCACTTCTGTGATCCAGGACGAGAATAACATCACTTTAGGATAAGAGTGTCCTTAGAAATGTGAAAGTCACCACACTAATGGAGGCTCAGAACATCGATACATTGTTAGGGAGATAACTGAAATTTCTTCCTTTTTGGCTTGCTTTAACTCTGTGTTTAGTCTCCCTTTTTGCAAATGTAAAAGATACATACTTGCATCTGCTTATGTTTTTCAAGAATGTTTGAGAATAAAAATTACAGCAAATGATTGATTTATGGCTCTTCTTTCACACAAACATTGAGAATCTGCTCTTAAGAAGTCTTCATGCTTCTACTGGTGATGTTTAGTCAAAAAAAGTCCTAGCCTCTGTCCATTCATTATAGTTTCTCAGAGGTGCTGTCATTCTATGGAAGAGGCTGAGATACTCTCTACTTCAAAGAAGAACAAGAAAGAAGCAGGGTGAAGAGGGGTTGGAGAGAACATAGTACTTTCGTTTCATTACTAAGCAGAATTTTGGCTGATTTGGGAGGTTGGGTCTTTTTTTTTTTTTTTTTTGCATTTATGCACTGCGTAGTTTCTGACATCTGATAGATGAAAAAAAATCCAGCTGATGTAACATCTGAGGTCAAGATAATCATAGTAATAACTGCCATTGCTTCTAATGTCTCAGTAGAGACAGGTGCCGTGACAGAAGCTTTCCATAAATACTTATATTCCACCAATCTGACAAGAAAGGGCTTATCAAACTTACTTCATAGTGGAGAGCCCAAGGCTCATAGAGTTTGGTTTTGTGCCGAAATACATAAGGCTGGTAAATGACATCAGGGAATAAATACCTGCTCTAAACTACTTTAGCACTCCTACTGTTGTTCTCCCCCCAACCTGAGACATACCCTTGCCTTTTTTTTTAACAAGTACTTTTAACATTTGACATTTCCTTTTCCTTATTTATTTACTATTTATTCATTCATTTATTTGGCTGTGCTGGATCTTAAGTTGCTGCACGTGTGGTCTAGTTCCCTGACCAGGGATCAAACCTGGGCCCCCTGCATTGGAGCCTGGAGTCCTAGCCGCTGGACCACCAGAAAAGTCCCCACCCTGTTTCTTTTATTTCAGTGCTTTTCTCAGTACTCCAAAATTTGTCCTAGGTGATAAAAAAGAATGCCCTTGTGCTCAAGCTACTGGATCAAAGTGTGTAGCCAGAACAGTAAGAATACCAAATATACTTAACCAGAGATATGTACCCCTTATTCATTACTCATAGATAAGTGAAAGAAACAATATTCAGAGACAGTATAAGCATATACATTGGCCAACCGTTAGATAACCTTTGAAGATCAAGGAGTCTCCATATCATCCTTACAGTTTCTTCCCTGTAGAAAGTAAACCTATCAGAAGAGAAATGACATGAGAACCTTTACCTGGCTGATGAGATAGATTGATCTACTTTTTTCTCCCTAAAGGACTAGCACCTGTCCTGGGACTCCTATCTTGGACTATAGCTCCTCTATCTCCCATCACTCCTGGGACAGGGACCCATTCTCTGTAGCACTGCAGAGCAAACATAGCTCAAGAGTTTGTAGAGACGTGGAATTTCCCCAAAGGCCTTAAATCCAAGACACAGAAAGCAAGATGAGGGCCCCATGTAGGAGGATTGAGGAGAGCAACACCCCAGAATATGGGGGATGATGGTCACTGGGACAGCATTCCCTTCTGCTCTCGGACACAGAGGAATTCAGAACTGTTAGGCTAAGCCTATTAGCCTTAGCACAGCCTCACTTATTCTTCAGGCTTCTCAGAGACCTAAGAAACTTGGTCTTAGCACAGAGTTCTGAGGTTGGTAGAGAGAATCAATCTCAGAAATGATGGTGATTAACCTGAATGAGGGTGATGGAAAGACCCATCCAGAACAGAAGGATCCTGTAAAGACCTGTCCTCACTGGCAAGCCCATGAAGTCCAGAACTATCTGGGCTGCTGTGGTTAATACTTTCAACTCAGGTCCCAGGAAGGTGGGGACATTGGAATCAGCAGAGAACAGAGCCCCAGGAAGGGTGCAGAGTCAAAGTGAAGACTCAGGGTGTGGACATGGAAGCCCCTCAACTCACAGCCAACGGGGATACACTTAGCCCATCTTCTCCAGTGAACCCTGGGAGGCAGAGAATGAGGTGCTGGCCAGCTCACGGGCCCCGTGACTTCTGCATGGAGGGTGTCAAGGAGATGACCTTGGTTTATAGGCTGGCTCTTCATCAGAGAGTGGAAGTGTCAGGCATGACATTTGCACAGTCCTGTATGAGGAGTGTGGCAGCCAACTACCCCGTTACAGATTAATTCTTAAAGTCCTGCAAATGTAATGGGCCTTGGGAGGGAACAGGCAGGGATTTCAGAGTAAGTGTATCCCTTATTTCCTGAAGGAAAATGACTTCAGGGCATTAAAGTCCTTGGACTAATGGAGGAAGCCTCTATCAGCTGAGGAAGGGTACACAGTTCCTAACAGGAGTCAGCTGGTGATACTGAACAACAACAAATGACCCTTCCCAGAAAAAAGGGAGCTACAGAGGGCACTGTCCCTGTTGTTGGGCCTTAGATTGTGCCATGTAGTCCTAGTGACATGGTGAGTCCTACTCACTTCCTCCCAGAGGATCACATGGAGGTAACGAACCTCATCCTGATCAAAGGGAGCAGCCACAGCTCAGCAGAAGGATGATTTCCAGGTTGTGCCAGAAGTCAAGGTAAGGAAGCTGAAGACTTGAAAAGACCATCTGCCTCAAAACAGTGGAGGCAGAACATATTCCTTCCACTGCTGTTAGCCTCAGAAGACCATGGCCTGTGGTGGCCCATGAGGCAAACTGCTCTTCTTCCTCAGGGAATTAGTGGCCTGGGTGGAGAAACTTTAAGGAAAGTCAGGGAATGTTTCCAGTTAGTGAATATTTCAAGGTTATCCAAGACAGGGTGAGGACAGTAAAGAACGAGGAAACACACACATACCGGGGTGGCCACACAGTATGTCCCCTACTCTCAGCCTAGAAGGCCTCAGGCAGAGTTGTCAAGCAAAGGAGCCCTTCAGTTCTGACCGAGGAGTAGCAGGAAAGTTAGAACTTTGGTCTGATGGTGGTGTTCCCATGTCAACAGAGGAGGGATTCCTGGGCTTGGCTGAGAGTCAAATTTGGGACCCTGATTTGGGACCTTGAGAGGAACTGTCTGTCATCCTCAAGGAGCTTGTCACAGCTTTCATTCTTGTGAGACTATGGGCAGGTGTGGCTAGATAAGGCCACCCTGTTTCCTCCTCCATGCTCACAGGGAGGTATGGGTCTTAACTATGAGGAGGTAGGCCTCAGGTCAAGAAGGAGGGGATTCCCCAGGCCTCGCCAGAAGTCAAATTGTGAAGCCTGAGTGAAGATTGAGGGGTCTACTCATCCCTGAATAGAGGGACAAAAGAGAGTCATGCCCTACCCTTTGATTTCAGTTCTAGAAAGCTCAGGGGAAGACTGTCAGGCAAGGCTCTCACTCACTTCTTTATACCAGGCCTTCTTGTTGTTGAATTGCTAAGCCATGTTGGACTCTCTTGTGACTCCATGGACTATAGCCCGCCAGGCTCCTCTGTCCATGGGATAATCCAAGGAAGAATTCTGGGGTGGGTTGCCATTTCCTCCTCCAGGGGATCTTCCTGACCCAGACACTGAGTCTGCGTCTCCTGCAGCTGCTGTATCACAGGCGGACACTTTACTGGTGAGCCACCAGGGAAGCCCTGTATCAGGCCTCAGGGAGGCCAGATCTTCGTTGGAAAGTACAGCCACCAGTCATGAGAAAGGAGGGATATGGTGCCTGCCAGGCACTGTGGCAGATGCTTTACAGTTACCACCACATGCCACCAGTCCTTCCAGGCCGGGCTTGCCAAACTCCCTTCAGAGTTAAAGAGCCCAAGGCTCTCTCAGAGAGTTTAATGGTGTGACAAACTTCCCGTAGCTGCTTAAGTGACAGGGATGGTTGCAGGCCCTTGATCTGAGTTAGTCTAAAGCTCACCCTCTCGCTCCTGCAAGCCTGAGCTGACCTTGTACCCTTAATTCCCTTCTTATTCTTATTACTGTGAAATGTATTGGAAGCAATAAAAGAAAAACTCTAAGGGTGAACTATTACATTGTAATACATAACCAGAGCAATAATAATAATAATGCCAAAACAAATGTGACATATGAAGAGAGGAAAAAAAGAGAAAATATTTGCTGGCAATAAGATCATCTATGCATACATATGAGGTTTCAGATAAGCTTAAAAGACCAAGGACTCACAAAACAATCATCACATAGCCATTTCTTTATATAAAGAAATCTCTGTTAGATCTAAAATATAACGTTTATTTATTAGAGGTTGCCTGAAACATCTGGCTGAAGGAGAGAAGAGACAGGTTACCACGTTTTGTTTCTCTCACAGGTCTCTGCCTGGGTCCCCTTACTTATGCCATGGATTTCCCATCTCATGTCACTCCTAGGACAGGGATTCGTTCTCTGCAAGGTTTGGAGTAGGGAAACTGATCGGGGCTTTTCAGGGATGTGGCATTTCCCAAGAAGCCTTTAATCAAAGGGGCAAGGGCCTATAGGAGGACACCCATAAGTCTGGACTGAGGAGAGCACCCCCAAGAATATTAGGTGTAAGAAGCTTCCAGGGAGAGATCTCAAGGTGAACATCTCTTTTCTCTGTTGTCACAGTACAGTTGTCAGGGACTTGAAACCTTTGGTCTAAGGAGGGCAATCTCAGGTCAGAGTAGGAATTGTGTGATATATA